GTTTATAATGATAGGTGTTGATTTGGATGTTCGCTGTAGATTCCACTTTGGCATCAGAAGGCCAGCCATAGGGCTGATGGGGTTATCCTCTGGGACTACCATGTAATCTGCATACAGGTGATATTTCTCTTTCACGGTGATTCTAAAATTTACTGCTTGAGAAGTGTTATTTATTTATTTATTTTATACGAAGTATATACAATTTTGTATATTTATTTCTTATTTTTGTATGTAGGTGTACTGCTTCACCTCCCTATGTTGAGGATTAACTTTGAACTAATATATTTACCTCATATTGCAGAAAAAAGAAACTGAAAAGTCTCCGCTAGTATGGGATCTGGATTCTACTCTTCCATTTCCTTCTCCTCTAGCATCATATGTTGCAGAAACTTTTCGTCCATCATTTCCGCTCTTTTCTGAGTTTCGAAGGTGTGCCAATTTCCACTTAAAAAGACTTGTTCAGTTGTTCCCACTTATTTCTATATTTAAATGATTGTACATGCTCATTTTTCAGATTTTATCGAATTGTACATGCTCCCATGTTTTTCCGATGTTTTGCTTCTGATAGAAGACACATGAAGGATTCTGATGGGAATTGGAATTCCCAACCGCCTCCATATGATCCAATAGTTGCTGAAGGTACAATAAATCACATCAGATTAACTTTTATTATTGAGCCATTGCCATATGTTCTTGAAACTTCAGTATTCAGTGTTTAAGAATGCTACAATTGTCTGTTGGCTTAAATGGGATTTGAAGTGAACACAAATCTTTCCTCCTGAAATTATAACTTCATATATTGCTGAGAGAGATCATGTTACAATCAACCAATGCCTCTCATGAGGCTTCTATCTTGCCCTGTACTACGCATGAATTAACCCAATGTTTTATGATTAATCATCAGAACAGCCCAGCATGTTCTATCTTATTAAGTGTTTGTCTGAGATTATGGTAAGTACGTTTAGGATTGGTGTGGTGGTGTTCTCCCTATGGTATATCAGGCAGTAAGCAATCATAAGTTCTCCTGAAAGTTCTTAATACTTGTTCATTTATTCTTAGGTTTATGACTAACTGGACCATAATGCAATTTTTCTTGTCCTATTCCTGTAGATGGAACAGTGCATAACCTGAATGAGTACGTGGAAATTCGCAGTGCTGATGCTGTACCTAATATAGAAGCTGATTTGGTAAATGCTGTTAAAAACGAACGGCTTGGCGTGGTGGTAAATGAAAAACAGATTGAAGAATTTTTTTCTCTTCCTACATGAGCAATTACATGATGTCCCATTCCCTTCTGAAGCTTGTTTGGTATTTATTATGATGTACGTGTCTGTCGTGATAGACTTCTAGTCTTTGAAACATTCACATTTAGACTTGTTAATTCCTACATCCGTCCGGATTTAGTTGTCAGACTTGTCGCGTGCTAGTTCAAACTACACCCGACAATTAATTCTGGAAGTACAGTGTGTTAACAGTGCTACATTTTTGGGAAAAGGAGAGGACTGGTTGTGGAATTATTTGGTGTCTTTTTGGGACTCCCAAGATTTATACTTGCACTCATCTTTGTAAGAGGAGCATCGGATGAGTGACGTACACAAAGAGGAGTGTAGTTACAAATCCTGGGATGAATCAGTTTGCCTGAACAGAACCATTTCTGAGTTCTGACCTTGTAGGTGACTGAAAGTTTACTGTGTAATGTGTTTAATCAACTCTATGTTTCACTTTGTAGCGCATGTGTTGGGTATTTTTGCAATCGAAAAATTTATTGTGATGTTGATACTTGAGAAATTCCACATGGACATATTACATGTATCCTCTCATTTATGTTCGAAGCCTGTGCGTAAATCGTGCTGAGGTTATCCTACTGTTCTGTGAGAAATTAGAAGGCATCTTCCAGATGAACATAAATATGAAGATGAATATTCGTACATAGGCGCTTTCGTTGAGTACCCTTTTGTGTTGCTTTGTGTGTACAATTTTGGCGTAATCACATGTTGACATGTTCTTATCATAGTTTGTTTGGACATCATCAGATGAGGGAGTAGGACATGGGGTGTGTTAGTTAATTGATTGCCTTACTTGTCAAGTTTTTGAATGAAAATGATTTTTTTCCTATCACAGTTTGATTGCGTGCTTATTTTAAAAAATTGAATAATTTGTAAAAAATTAAGGTTGGATGTATGACTATTTCTTCACTAAAAAAAGAAGTTGATATGTTTGAAATTCAACTAGTTTATCCTGAATGATGCAAGGGTTTCTTTCAATGTGACTTGCTATATTATTATTATTTTGAGAAAGCTTGCTATATTATTTTTGATGTGAATTTCATCATTTTTGGGAGAATGCAAATAGGTCAAGTGAGTAATGCCAGTATGAAACTAGTCATAGTAGAATTGAAAGTTTTAAAAAAATATGTAATGATAAAACTTTGATTATGTAAGGAATAATGTCAAGAATGTGACTACTTGTATTATCTTATTTCTTTATTTTGGTTCTTTAGCAGTATTAATCTGCTAAATAATATTATTACTAGTAGTTTATCAATTAAGTTTATCGTCAAAGTTCTCTATGGTGTATAGAGAGCCACAAGAGCAATGATGTTAATGAGATTCAATCCTAGATTTTCAATACCTACCCGAAAATTTTAGCCAATTAAATTAGTTAGCATCTAACTCATAACAATAAAAGTATATAAATTGAAATTTTGTTTAGAGGATAAAAACAACCAGAAATATTCAAAGGGTGAAAATATGGTAAAATCCCTAATAATGTACGAGGTTAATAACTAGAGTAGCAAAGCTCTTGAACAAAGGGGGAAGCAAAAGGGAAGTTGATGATTGGGTGGAATGGTGGGGTCAGTCCAGGCAAGCAAAGTATAAGTTGGTGCTTTGGGTCCTCTTAATAGTCCTACTTTTAGAAAGTCCAGCTAAATGGTTCAACAGAATGTTCTCTATTTTCCCCTTTCTGATCCTGTGGTGTAAGTTCGCCGGATTCGCCGCATTTCAACCGTGCATTTTTCTTTGTTAAAAATTGTTTGAATAATAATAATAACGCTCTCTATTTTTTTTTTTGAAGCAAATAATAATGCTCTCTATTCATATCGAAATAATGGTTACAAATCTCGTACTAAAATAGTGCATATTAAGGACCAAAGTAATGTAAGTATTCATGATATAAACTTATTAAATTTGTAAGTGTTGCAATTATTCAGAAACGAAGGAAGTAATTGTTTTTTATTGATGTGTAACGTAAAAATATCAAACCTGTTATTGCTTAAAAATTTACATTAATGTAATTGATGTAAGAGTTAAAGTTACAATTAACAAAAATAAGGGTAAAATATTGAGTATAAAACATCATTTATGACCACCTTCCCTTGTGATTAATGTAATTAAAACATTATGTAAGAGTTAAATTTGCATTAATAATGTAATTGATGTAATTATTTAGTTCACCTTATTTTCATTTAATATGATATAAACTTACTCGTATTTTTTATGTACTCCCTCTGTTCCTAATTATTTGCCCCACTTTCTTTTTTAAGGTGTCCCCAGAAGATTGCCCCATACTACTTTTGACATATTTTCCCACTTGCACTCTCTCTATCTCTCTCCTCATTGATATTTGTGTCAACCCATGTGTACCATTTTTTGCCCAAAGCTTTAATAAAGTAGATTTATAGTTTGGGGCAAACAATTGTGGACAGAGGGAGTAGTTGATGGTTTGATTTGACTAAATTTTGCCTTCCTTCCTATGTATATTAAGTCATATGGACAAATATAATTACAATTAATAACCTAACTAGTGAGTATCCCGGGCGTTGTCCCGGATTACTACTTTTATAGTTGTGCAATTGCTAATTTTTAGAGCATCTAATAGTGTGTATGTAGTATGTGTATTCAATACTTTATAGTATAATATTATTTATTGTGCAAGGTTAAAGCATAATTGACAATTAGTGTAGATGGTTGAACAATAACCTTTCTTTAAAAAGGTCAAGTGTTCGAACCTTCTCATTCATACGGATTAGTTGTTTAGGGAGAATATAATATTTTGGGAAATAAGAATAATTGCATATCTATCTATACTATATATTAAAAGGCGTTCTTAAAAAATTTAGGTGTCACGTGACGCTCTCCTCATTTATTTCGATTTTCACTCCATGCCTACAAATATGGTTCTTGCAAGATTTAAACCCACAACCTCAAATTTAAATTCCAACGTAATAGCGGCATGGAAATAATGTAATAACTTGGGGCATCGCCTGCGCCTAACACTAGTTGGAATTTGAAAAGTAGGTATTGTATAAAGGAAAATACGCAAGTAAATAATTATAGGATAATAATATATATTGTCATTAGGGCTAAGAATTAACATTTACTTCGTATTATCTTTCATCATTTGAAATTAATTAAGAAACACATGAAAAATTAGAATTTGTTAAACACACCCGAGTGTATCGTACATCCGGGGTCATTTGCTCATTTAATCAACAAATGAGCAAATAATATTTTTACTCACTTGTTGATTGAATGAATAAATGACTATAAATATATGTATATCCGGGTGTACATAATAGACTCTCATGACAAATCAGCGGCAAAATGACAATCGTAAAATAACAATTAACAAGTACTCGTGCTACCCGTCTTGGCCGTATAACCTTTGTTGCGCCTACAAGTCAAGTCCAAAGTAGTCAAACCTCCAAAGAAAAGCAAAGAATACAAAATTCCGGCACCAATATTGCCTAACCCGACAAAACCGGTACCACCGGCCCACCGTCACAGTCACCCCTCGTCTTCCCTCATTTAATTTTATGACAACCAGCCTGTCTTAACAACTAACCCCCCATTTTCCCACTTTATTACCAAATTACCCCTCCATCTTTCTTTCTTTCCATTTTCATCATCAATCTTCTTCTTTCTCTCTCTGCAAATTAAATCTCAACATCAAAAGTTCTAAATTTAAAACCATCAAAATTATTTTTAATAAAATAGTAAAAAGAAAAAAAGGGAGCAATTATTCAAATCTCCTTTTTTTTTTCTTTTTTTTTTTGGTATATCCCAAACCCCACCTATTTTTCCATAAAAATTGCCAGCTCCAAAGGACATTTTCTCTCTCCTCTTCTCCCTTTTTCTCTCTCCTCCTGCAATTTTCGTGCTCGTTTTCGCCTTTTTTCTGTTCATCATCATCATCATCAAGCCTCGAGATCGTTGATTTATTGATTTAGGTTTGATTTTGATTGTTTTGGTTAAATTCTAAGCTTTAGTTAGATCTTTCTGATGATTTGTTTGAGGTTTTTTTGTTAATTTTTGATTGATTTTGCTGTTCTTTTGATTGATCTGAGGTTTTTATTTGAATTTGTTTGATGTTTTTGATCATTTGTGTTTGATTTATAGCTTTATTGTTGTTTATTTGTGCGTGAATTTGATTAATTTTTTTATTGAATTTGATTTGATCAACTTTGAAATTGAGAAGAAATGGCAAATCAGTGTTAGTTTTTGAGAATTTCTATTGCATGATTGAGGAAGAAGCTTCTAATACAAGTAGCTGTTGAATTTTTGATTTTTTCTTTTGGTGGGAAAATTATTGATTGTTTGAAGTTAAAAATCTGAAGAATGTACCTATGAAATGTATATGTGTCCTCTGAAGGCTCCGATGTTTAAATTTAGCTTTCTTATTATTTTTGCTTATTTGTAAATCATGTTTTCGACTTTTCGGGTTTTGCAGTATTGCTATTTGGTTGCTTTGATTTATAACTCGAAAGTAAAAGTGTAAGAACTATTTCCTGCTTCAATTGGTTAAGAAATCGGCAATGTCAAGCACTACGAAGACTACTGATCCTGCTTTCCAAGGAATAGGCCAGAAACCGTATCCTTATTTTATCGTTTGCTTGTATAGATAGATAGTTGTCAATTTTGGGGTTTAAGTGGCCGGAAAGTGAAAATGAGAGTTAGTTTTAGAATGTTGATTGTTTTTTTTGATGCTTTTTCAATGCATATCCCCTCAATTCTTTGTTTTATGAGGAGCCGACAAGGCTGAGGCTGCACAGTTCTCGAATCACTGTGTTTTTTGGAAATTGTACTTGATGCTTGAAATTGTGGGAGGTATACATGCCATACATTCTAAAAGCATAGACCTATTGCTTGAAAAGGATTGGTTTATTATAAGTATTATTGCTTAAACCTACAACATTTTTGTTTATTTTGCTGCTTTTAATATCTCATGTACACAACTACTTGTTTGAGTCTTAACTCCTTGTAGAGGGACTGAGGTATGGAGAATTGAGGACTTCGTACCCGTTCCATTGCCAAAGTCGGATTATGGTAAATTCTACTCAGGAGACTCCTACATTGTCTTACAGGTATATTTAATTATTTGCATGATTTTTTTTTTTTTTTCTAAAGTTTTATTTTTATTTTTAAATTTTTTAGTTTGCATTGCAAAGATTTATTTTGTACGCTTTCCCTAATTTTGGCTGCTAAGATACTTTTGATTTAAAATGGTTCTAGTCAACAGTCATTATCAAAACATGTGTCTTTGTCATTGCAACTTGACAATCTCAGTTCAATTTTAATTGCTGATGATTACGGAATGTTGTGGCATAGTCCTTTTAGGGTTTGGACCCAGTTGTGATTTGGCTGAAAAGATAATTGTGTATGACTGTAATCTTTAAATGAGCTTCTTATGTGAGTAGTGATAATCTTTGGCTGCACTTTAATATTTTTGGGTAGGTGGGTGAGTGTTGGTAAGATTTCTTTTGGTTCTTAGGGATGTCAAGAAATCATATTATTGCACATAAATGTCCTGTCTTTATTTTCCTATTTACATCTTAACCATGCCTGATCGCATTATAATACTTCATCCGTTTTTCTAAGTTCTAATCAGTTTCTGCTTTCATCCGTTTTTATAAGTTCTACTCACTTTGGTGTTTGTGGCTGTATTACTTGTGAAACTTCTTGTTATGAAATGTTAGTATAGATATGGATATTCCATGCCTCTCCTTTTAGTTTCAGCGGCTTTGTTGATGCCAATCCTTCGCTTGAGTGGCTTTGTAGCTTCTGGAATGAGGTTTACTTGATGGAAAGGGATGAATAGCCTTTTTTTTTTTTCGATCTCATTCTTTATGATATTCCCAATTAATGTAGTTGACTATTAAATATTGCCTATACCAATAAATGCAAGTAGCTACTATGGATATTTCTTGAATCATTTTATGGAAGAAATGTACTTTCTCTGCTGTGTATCAATTATCACCAATTTTCTCCTGTACCTTCATTTCTGTGCAGCTTATAAGTTATTGACCTGTCATCATGAGGGCTTACATTATGTTCTTCATGCCTATTAATGTTGATACATATTTTTGCAGACAAGTTCTGGCAGAGGGGGTGCTTATCTGTATGACATTCACTTTTGGCTTGGAAAAGATACTAGCCAGGTAGGTCTAATCTGTCTAATCATTCTTATTTCATTTTTCGGGCTGCTGTGTAGTTGACTGTGTGATTTAAATTAATTTTAGGACGAGGCTGGAACAGCTGCTATTAAAACAGTTGAGCTAGATGTAGCTCTTGGAGGGAAAGCTGTGCAGCATAGGGAGCTTCAAGGTTTTGAATCTGACAAATTTTTGTCGTACTTTAAACCATGCATCATACCTTTAGAAGGCGGAGTTGCATCTGGATTCAAGACGCCAGTGGATGATGAGTTTGAAACAAAGTTGTATATCTTTCATGGAAAACGAGCTATCAAGATGAAGCAGGTACTCTGTTGTAATTTCATTCTTAAATCAGCTTTCAGTTATTTATGCTGTTGGCTATTCTTTGCAGAAGTTAAGAATATCTGGATGTGCAGGTCCCATTTGCTCGTTCTTCTCTAAATCACGATGATGTTTTCATCTTGGACACTAAAGACAAAATCTATCAGTTCAATGGTGCAAACTCCAACATTCAAGAAAGGGCAAAGGCTTTGGAAGCTGTCCAGTTTCTTAAGGACCAAAATCATGGAGGGACATGTGACGTGGCCATTGTTGGTATGAGAGAAAAACTTTTGTGCTTTCTCCCTACCGCATTTATTGCTGGTTTGACTTTTTTCTAACCCATTGTCATTGATGTAGATGATGGAAACCTACAAGCTGAATCTGACTCCGGTGAATTCTGGGTTCTCTTTGGCGGTTTTGCCCCAATTGCTCGAAAGGTCGTTAGTGAAGATGAAGTTATTCCTGAGGAAATTGCGGCTAAGCTTTATAGGTATTCTCACTTTTTTTAATGTTCTTGCAATTAGAAAGCCTAATTTAGGTTCTGACTGCATACTTCTTTGTATTGTAATTTCTGTTGTATGGACATCAAACACTCCAATCTGGATAACATAATAGCTTTGTTCTTGCTTTTCCTGTTTTTGGTGAAGATGTCTCAATGCTATTGGTGTTTGTTGGATCAAATTGTTTATCATGTACTGCAAATCTGCAATTTATATTGAATATTTCTGTATCCTGAGTAATTGGAATTTGGATAGTGAAAATATGCAATTGCTGGAAGATCTTATGATTGTAACAATGAAGTTCAGTGGTTGCTGCTCAATGGAAGCTGATAAGTGAGGAAATATCCATACGATTTGTTGCCAATCATTTATGTTGGTCAAGGAAACTCCTGCCCAGATTGCTGGGTTTCTTCCCCAAATTCCCACTTCCTTTTTTGACAATTTGACAAGCCTTTTTTAGTATTTGTATGTATGGAAGTGGAAAAGTTGTATTTTGGTTTTTCAGGGAAATTAAGCTGTTGGTCTGTGAATATGAATACATTGATGAAGTTTGCATTTGAAACCTACTGAAGATTAGATACCCTCACAAGCTGTTGGGCCATTCTCCTTTTTCTAGCAATAGCTAGCACATATTCTTAGACAAAGCCTATTTTATGCATGCATCCAACATTAAGATAAATTTTAATTTGAAACAGGCAGATCTTTAGAAAAACCACTGTACAAATGCTGATTCAGGCTACTTGTTTTAGGTCTGGACAAATGTCCACCACGACATCTAGTCTCTACACCCTTATTTTATGGTTCCTCTGACTATGACAGGCCTTTACTTGCTGTTCTGCTCCTAGGGGATGCTGGATATTCCCTTGCCAATAACAATGAGCCTACTAGATCTGTTGTTCATAATTGTGGTCTTAGGCTTGTGCTAGCAAATTTTTTCTCGGCAAACTATCTTTCTTCAGTCATCAACTCTAGATCATCTGACTTTGCACTTCATCCTATTTTTGTATGGTTTGATTGTAAACATATTGAAACTGGACTTTAGTGGATTTGATTTGGACTTCAAGATCTCATGGCTGTATATCTAATTGGTTTTTGTCCCCTCTTTATCTCCCCAATGGTGTTTGTGTAAATATTGATGCTTATTGTTAAATCGGAGCTATATGGGGCTAGATGTCGGATGATCCGATGATGCTATAATTGTTCTTTCTATTACGCAATAGTTATGGTGAATTTCCATGTAATCTGGCAAGGCACAATGCTGTATTTCTGGGCTATGATAATATTTTTCTACGGGTACTTCTATAAAATTTTCCTCCATTCTCATACCAAAATAAAGCAAGCTTAATTGCTCCATAATTCATGCCTGGTTTCTATTGCAAGCTTTATATCTTCTCTATATTAGCTGTAATCATTTTTAAACTTCCTGTCAAGACTGAGTATTATATTGAATATATAGAATAAATTGAATTACACATTTTATAGTTTTCTTAGAGCTCATACGTAATTGTGATATAGATGATAACCATCATTTTGCAAAACAGAGCTCAAATTATAATATTAGCGTCAGTCATTGTTTAGAAACATACCTCTATGCTTTTGTGTAATTTTGGCTTTCTGATTTGGAACTGTAGCATCGAGGACGGTAAAGTTCAAGCTTTAGAAGGTGAACTTTCTAAAGGAAAGCTGGAAAATAACAAATGTTATTTACTGGACCGCGGGGTTGAGGTTTTTCTTTGGTTTGGTCGCGTTACGCAATTGGAGGATAGAAAAGCTGCCTGTCATGCTGCAGAGGTATAATTAATTATTTAATTTTCAAGTTCTTCATCGTTTTCTTTTTTGGGTTGGTAGAGGACCTTCTAGCCTTTACAAAACTAGGGATCAAGCCATAGGAAATGCCTGGGGGCTGGATAATTAATGGCTTGAAGGTGATGTGAGAATACCACAGTTGATCATCCAACCATGAGGTTGAGATATGTGAGACATGAATCCCTGATGCAATTTAATTGGCTGATTTCCTACTTCATAAAATGAGAACTAAATGCATGTTTATTACTTGAGACTGTATTGATCTTGAATAATTTTTTTTTGCAGGACTTTATTACTAGCCAAAAAAGACCGAAGACAACACGTGTAACTCGAGTTATTCAAGGATATGAGACACACTCTTTTAAATCTCACTTTGACTCCTGGCCAGCTGGGTCTGCTGCTCCTAGTAATGAAGAAGGAAGAGGAAAAGTAGCAGGTGATTTTATTCCTTCACTTGTCAAAAAACCAGTATCTTTGTTATTCTATCCAAACTCATCTTTCTGGGTATTTTGTTAGCTTTTCTGAAGCAGCAAGGTTTTGGTGCCAAAGGAGCAAACAAAAGCGCTCCTGTTAATGAGGATGTTCCACCCTTGCTTGAAACCAGTGGTAAAATTGAGGTACACCGCACTGCTTTTTTCGTTTCCTCTCATGTGAAATAATTGGTCATTACTTTTGGCCTTTAATGACATAGCTAAAGCAATTGATTATAATGAATTCCAAGGTATGGCGAATCAATGGTAGTGCCAAAACTCCCGTGCCAAAAGAGGATGTTGGCAAATTTTACAGTGGGGATTGCTATATTATTTTGTACACTTATCACTCTGGTGAGAAGAAAGAAGACTACTACTTGTGCTGGTGGATTGGAAAGGATAGCATTGAGGTAAGCTTTTAATGCATCATTTGACTCTCTTTTTTTTTTTTTCCTCCTTTTGTTTTGGCAAGGATATTTTTGCATCCTCTCACAGTGTTATGCTAAGAACTAGGATGATCCTTAGACATTGCTTAAAGTGCATACCTTGTCACATCAACTTTCTATTAAGTTAAATCAATTTTTAATGGACCATACTCATCTCAAATTCTCACCATATCCCCTCAAATTTTATTCTTTATCCCTCAGACTCACTTCAGACTATAAAATACTCTTTTATTATTCACTCCCTTTGTCCCTTAATTACAAGCCTATTTCTCAAAAAGTACGGGAATTACGGAGGATGGGAATAGTTGAGGAATATTACACGGGAAAGATAAAAAGTGGAGAATTTTGTATTGGAATACTAAAAGTAGAGAATGCTGTATAGAAAAGATAAAAAGTAAGTAATTATTTTTTTTGGTGTATGTGTATATGTGTATGGGAAAGATAAAAAGTACTCCCTCCGATCCCTAATGTTTTTTACGTTTGGAATTATGCGCGGTTATTAAGAAATTGTGTAAAGTTGAGGTATATTTGAATATTTCAATGATTGAAAGTACAATTTTATTGAAAAATACAATGTTGAGCATGTGGGGTGAAGAAATTAGAGGAGAGAGGAGAGAGAAAATAATAATAAGTGTTGAAAAACTATTAAAATAGTACGAAGTACAAAAAGTACAATATCACAAGGAAAAGTAAGGACTTTTGAGTAAAAAAATTGTAAAACAAGGGTAATTTTGTCCAAAATTTATGACCAAAATAGGAAAGATACTAAATATAAAGAATAAAAAGGAACACCCTAAATGGAAACGTAAAAAACATTTAGGAACGGAGGGAGTAGAGAATTTTGTATCGGAATAATAAAAAGTAGAGAATAGTTGAGGAATATGTGTATTTTTTGGGAAAGATAAAAAGTAAGTAATGATTATTTGATATTTTTAGAAATAGGCAAAACATTTTAAGACACCCAAAAAAATACAAATTTGTAATTAAGGGAAGGAGGGAGTAATAAAATTGATCAAAACCCATGTGCCGAGATAACTGCTCGAGTCTTGTTCTGGGTCTTTGAAAAAATTGAAATCAATGACCCTTGCTTAGGCTCCCCAAAAATGTGTCCATTTTGTCAGCACTTCTTTCCATTTTTTTTAAAACAAAAATTCTTACCCTGAGACTTAATTAAAGATTTTGCCTTGGACTACTGTTGAGGTTGCTCTTAGGCCATAGCTATTCTCTCCCTAGAAGGCTAGAACAGTATATTTTAGGCTACTAAGAAGAGTGTTTAGAAGAGTTAGAGAAGAAATCACCAACCAGATTATGAAATAGTAAAAATATGATTATATGGATGATCAGTGGAAATCGCACTGATTACAACCAAATCAACATTCAAAAGGTTAGATATATTGTCATCATCAAAACCCAATGGATTAACAATATGTGGCAAAGAATTAATGAATTAGGATGAGAGATAAGGAGATGGCTACAATTTGTCATCTGATAAGATTAACTAGCTAGGGAAGATCGGCAATCACCTGTCAAAGCCATGTCCTTGAGGTTGAAGGTAGTCTGAGCTTGCAAACACCAAGCTAGTTGCTGGCTGATGATTTCAAAACCCACCCCCACCCTCCACCCTTAAAAAACAATGTTTTGGCACAATTATAAATTTTATTTCGATTTTCGGAACACCAAGACTATTGCAAAATCAAGAAAATTGATCGGACATGGGATGATTTCTCGATCACTCGTTTAAAAACCATGCCTTTGAGATTCTTGGTAGTTTGAGCCTGCAACCATTTGCTTGTCTCTAATGGCTAATTGATAGTCCCTTTGCCCCTTTTTGATCTACCCTTGTGATCAATTTTTATGGGAATTAAGAAGGGAAGGAGGAAGTAGTAAAAGTACATTAGAAAGTTAAATTCACATGGGATTTGCAAAAAAAGTAGAGAGAGAAAGCAGTAGAAGTACATTGAAATGCAATATTCACATTGGAAAAGCTAACTTTGCACAAATATTTTTGCAAAAATGGAGGGTAATTTAAGGTCATCTAATAAAGACAAGAACAATTGAGGATAAAAGGGTAATTTAATGCTAGCCATAATTGGTAAAAATAATAATAAAATGGGTACATCATTTAGGTCCACCAAAAATGGCATAAGGGTAGATAAAAAAGGGACAGACCAACGGAGGGAATTTTAAAAATTATATAAAAAAAAAGGAAAAAAAAGCCAGGAGAGGGTGAAAGCTAAGAAATGCATTATGATTTGGATCTCCATAAGAGACGATATTGTTTTTTGAGAGTTCTTCCTCTCTCTTTCATGCATACACGTAGTTGATGATCTAACTGTTTGAAATTAGAAGAGTCTCAATGTTAATAAAAGAGTTAAAAAGGGTTGCAAAGTGACTAAATTAGTGTATGTGATCCTATATAATCAGCTTTTACTTACCATGAGAAGTAAATCCATTTTTCCCTTGAACCTTGTATGTGTGTGTGTGTGTGTGTTGTCACAATTATTCCTGTAGGAAAGTGCAAGTGCTTCATAGCACACTCTTTTACTAGTTAGTGTATGTGATCCTACATAATTCAGTATGTTGCTAGTTTTCTCTATTATCACATGCTTTTGAGTTTTCTCATAATTCACTTCAGGAGAAGTTGAGCTTCCATTAACTTCTCATTTACAGGATGACCAGAAGATGGCTGCAAGGTTGGCTAACACAATGTGTAATTCACTGAAAGGAAGACCTGTCCTGGTATTATCATGTTTCCTTTGATTGCATTATTTCAATTTCTAATATGTGGGTGGCTAATTTGAAGGTTTGACTGGTGCAGGGTCGTATTTTTCAAGGAAAGGAGCCACCTCAATTTATTTCAATATTTCAGCCTATGGTTGTGCTAAAGGTAGGTTTTTATAATGCACTTGTTTCAAAACATGTACCCCATACTTTGACTGTGTTGCAATTTTTAAGATGTGTTGTGTAAAAATTGTAGACAGTTAATGCATTGAAAATATGCATTTAGAGTAATCCAACAATATTCATATATTTCTTCCTCTGTTTTTTTTGTTGCAACATATTGACTTTCACATATATCGATGGATAACTTTGGCCCTTATTTTTTTCTTATAAATCTTTCATCAAGCATTTATTAAATATTATGTTCTAATTTGCTTTGTGAAATGTGCAAAAGTCAAACTGCAGTTTTAAGTAAGCATAGAAAGTAATAATTTGGATCCAAAAGTTTAAGTAGTTGATAGACAATTTCGTTTAATCAACCCTAAAAGAACTGATTGGTTCATGAGTTTCCTAAATCACTCTTGAAATAAGTGCTCAATTATAGCAGAAAATAAACTCTTACGTATCTTATTTTTATATCTTCAAAACATGTTACAAGAGTTCCTTTATGGAGCTGTATTTAACTGCCATAAATCCTTAGAGAAGTACACTTTTGAGTTCATCTTAACCGTGCACAACAAATCTCACCAACTTTTATTATTAAAAAAATTATAATGTTAAATTATCTAAGTGACAAAACTAAGAAACCGGCAGCCGATTACAACTTAAATTCTTTTGATTATTGCCACTTGATTTTCATGATGATAACACACATGATCACTGTAGCATTAAACCACTAAGTAAATATGAACTTTTCTATTATATTGATTGTAAGTTTGAGCTGGAAAATAACCCATACCAAATAAAGCAAATGAATAAAATAAATTAATTATATTGAATCTCCTTGCGTTCACTCCAATTATTAGTTCTCTGAATTCTGTTTTCGTATATAGGGTGGTCTGAGCTCTGGATATAAGAAGTTCATTGAAGAGAAAGGGTTGACTGATTCCACTTATCCAGCTGACGGTGTTGCATTAATAGAGATATCGGAAACTTCCTTGCACAATAACAAAGCCATGCAGGTTGATGCGGTATGGGTTACCTGCTCATTAGTAGTTTGAGTATGTTGAATTATGCTTTGTAATGTTTCACCTGTAACCATTGCGTCATCTCAGGGTTCTTAGTTTTATATTTGTTTGGTACAGTCAATTGTTTGAAAGAATGTCTTCTGGAACTATTCTGAACTTCTGCCTTTTGCAGTACCAAATCTTGATTAAGATGCTTTGTGGAACTATTCTGAAGTTCTTCCCTTTGCATTGCCTACTTTTTACTTATATCTGGGATATATTTTATGTATTACTGATGTAACTGTCAATTGCCTGTAAGGATGTCTTGTGGAACTATTCTGAACTTCTGCTCTTTGCATTACCAAGTTTTGCTTAGGGTGTCTTGTCAAACTATTCTGAAATTCTGCCCTTTTCTATACCCGGATTTGATTAACATATGGCTTCCCTTGCTTGGATCCTCTGTTTGTTAATACACTGAGTGATATTTACAGTAGATTGACTATTCTAATATTGGTTCAAAATATCAACTCTTTTTTTTCTTTTTCTTTTTTTTTTTATGCCTTTTGGTTTTTTTTTTAATATCAGTGGTAAATTAACCTTAAACGTTGTTGTTGAACGATGATGTGAACTTATGTTGTGATTTGATTGTGTCTTTATCTTTTCAGTTATCCTTCTTGTGTCTAGGAACTGAAAGCTGCTTGCTATAACTCTTCTATTTTCTCTCACAGACATATATATATATTGGAGATACTCCCTCCATCGTATGAAAAGTTTCCATTTCTATTTGAAACATAGTTTTAGGAGGGTAAGTGGTGAGTATAAGTGAATTAAAAATTAGGTTGGTATTCTTTATTTATTTTCAATTGAGATGAGAGAAATTGGGGATTGCTGTATAAGGTGCTGAGAGAAGATGACTATAACAAGATAAAGGAAGAATGAAAAACATAATTAAATTATTTGGACCCAAGTCAAGGGAAAATTGTAATGTATCTGTATATCAAGAAATAAGAGAGAATGGGAAGTGTTTTTTGGGATGGAGGGAGTATTTGTTTACCTGGTGTTTTTTTTCTTCTCAGATATATTATTCTGGATTGTCTGATGATGACTTCCTTATTACTTGTAAGATTTCCATTTTATCATAATCCATCTTCCATATTGATGACCGTGTTCATTTTAGGTGGCAACATCACTGAACTCTTACAATTGCTATATTTTGCAATCGGGCTCTTCAATTTTCACTTGGCATGGCAATCAGAGCACATTTGAACAGCAACAACAAACTACTAAAATTGCTGAATTTTTAAAGGTTACCCTTTTTGCTTTCATTTTTTCTAATGAACATTAGCATCATGATTGGATGTAAGCATGTAACTATTTCAAGAATTATATAGAACTTGTGGATAAGTTTATTTCTGCTCCCCCTTAACTTTTTCTGCTGTTATCTTGATGTATGTCATCACCTGACATCATGGAAAGGCATGAGTTAGTGCATAGCAGAAAACCTTTTGATGTGTTAGAGATGATGCCAAGTTCCAAGACCGGTGCTCAATATAATTGCATCAATATCATATATGATAAGACTCATAAGATCATCCATAATGAACTTGAACAATTTGCTAAATCCTGAAGTTTTATCTAATTGTCTGTTGCAGTTTGAACTTTTTACTTGCCAATAACTTAAGTCATCTTAGCATTTCATAAAATCACTGCAAAATCTTGAAAGTGAAGTACTATTTACTCTGTTGTACATTGATAAACTTGTGGTACAGTGGAGTACTGGAGTGCATAAAAGGGTATCCATATTACATATCCTGTTAAGGATAATTGGATATTTGCTTGACATAGGAACAGGAGATTGAAACAGACTATCTGATTAATCATTATTAGAATTAAGTGTGTCTGATGCTTTATGATATGGATTTGGCTTACTGGCATTTTTATTATGGTGCGTTTTGCTGAGAAGTTAAGTGGTGGTATTGGCCTGATAAACAGACACTCTGTAAACCTTTTCTTTAGCTGTGATATTTTTTACTATATTTTAAAATTTACTCTTTGACTTTAACTGATGCATATTGTTGATTTTCACTGCCAGCCTGGAAGTACTACTAAACATGCCAAAGAAGGAACTGAAAATTCAGTATTTTGGTCTGCACTTGGAGGGAAACAACCTTACGCAAGCAAAAAAACATCTCAGGAACTTGTCAGGGACCCACACCTATTTTCCTTTTCTTTTAAGAAAGGTTTGATTCTAGTCTTTATCTGCAATAACCTATTTCACCCACATCTCCTGTATCTGCATAAAGCTCATTATTGTGCACATAAACGTCGGATTCTAGTATTATTGGGATGTCAAACTAACGTGTGAGTTGGAAGGATTTGATAACATATTATAAATAAGGGCACAATAGTTTGACATAAATGTACATTTGAAAATGTGGAAGGGGAGTAACTTTTTTTTTTTTTTTGAAACAAATCTTCCATAAAAGGAGTATCAAAATTGAGAAGGGATTTCATTTTTTACACGTTTTTTCAGCTTCTCATTGATTATTTGACAGAAGCTACTTCCTTACTAATACATTGTCTCCTTTTTTTTTTTTGCCCTGGCTATTGATTTGCAGGAAAGTTTCAGGTGTGTGTTACATTAAATCGCCTTGCAAATTGCTGAAATTCTCAGTGCATATCTATAAGAGTATATAATTTCTTGGTTCGTATATGAATGGTGCAGATTGAGGATATCTACAATTTTACCCAAGATGATCTGTTGACTGAAGATATGATGATACTTGACACCCATATTGAAGTTTTTGTTTGGCTCGGTCAGTCAGTTGATACCAAGGAAAAGCAGACTGCTTTTGAAATTGGCCAGGTACTATATTGTAAACACATTGTGAATTGTAATTTTGTAGGTTTATGAAACATCATCGTTAATTCTTGTTCAACTGCAGAAATACATTCAGATGGCTGCATCATTAGAAGGGCTATCTCCACATATTCCTCTTTACAGAATCACTGAAGGAAATGAGCCATGTTTCTTCACAACTTACTTTTCATGGGAACCAGCTAAAGCCATTGTAGGTGCATCTAAACCTAAAATGGCACTACTGGATGCTAGCTTTGCAAAATTTGAAGTTGCCTTTTTAAATAATTGAGATTTTAGATAATTCTTGAAAGTTATATTCCGTAGTTGGACAGCAAAGTAAGATTGCATTACAAAGCACTTTGTGAAGGCCTTATTCTCTGTGTGTGTGTGTGTGTGTTTTTTTTTTTTTTTTTTTTTTTTTTTTTTTTTTTTTTATAAAAAAAAAAGTTCATTGTTTATGGTGATAACAATAGGCTTATAAAGCATGGTAGGTCTTTCACACAACAAGTGTATTTTTACAACAAGCTTAATCACCTTAAATCACATAAAAGTTGTCCCTTTGTGAAGCCGACTTATATGTGGTTTGAGGTGACTAGAAGCATGTTGTACACAACAATACTACCTTTGCATTATTTAAATACTTTTTTAGAAACTCGAGACTTTTGACCTTGGAAGTAGTAAGATGACTAAGATCAGTTTTTTGAGTTAGTCATATGAGAGTTAGCTTCTTGATGAGACACAGGATTCACCGTGCTGCTTGTTCTTGATTGTTTGTTTGATCCTGGTCCTTGTTTCCATCAATGTGATGGGACTGCTGATTTTAGTCTCTTGAACCCTATATTCTCATCTTGAGTAGTTTGTTGGAGCCATATTTTTACTGAACATATTTTCTCAAATATTGTGGAATAGATTGGAATTGTATGCCACATTATTTTTGTGGCGTATATCGTGCATAAATGATGCATTTTTGCAAGTTGTTTTGAATTGTAATGCCTTGTAATTATTTCCAAACAGGCGTTGCCTTTTCTTTTGGTTCTGTAGCAAATTTTCTCATGGAAATTGTTTTTCTCACAGGTTCAAGGGAACTCATTTCAGAAGAAGGTCATGCTATTATTTGGTGCTGGCCATTCTGCAGAGGTACATCATGAAGTGAATAAATAATAATATATTTTTTTTCTTCTTTTTTTTTTTGGTTTGTGGTATGTGGTATAGCATGTGACTTAAATAACTTTTTTACCTACCATTGTGGCATTCATGTCTGGGTAATTTATCTATACTTTTTCATTACTCTCCAATCTGTTACCTATGTGTCTTTTTCTATCTTGCACCTGCATCATCAACTTTCCAACTTTAGTTCAAAGCACTTTGTAGCTTAAAATTCTTCAGCTGGATTGGTTTTTGTGAACGTAGTGCTGCTTGTTTGCTTTGGTTATGGAAGTCTGTTAAAGTCTTCTTCTGGAAATATGCCTGATATGTTTGTCAAGGGTTCTCTTTTGTTTGTTGCTCCTATGCTTTGCAATGTCACAGGAGGTTTACTCATGCTTGTAATCATGAGCTTTGACTTATCCAAGGGAAAGGAGCAGAGCTTGTGCACATCAAAGTGCAGTACTGTTTTAGCTATTATATTAGGCTACTTCTAGGGCCAACACAATGTTTACTTGGAAAAGTTGCTACCCAAATTGTCTTTGGTGTCTATTGTTTATTTGACTACTCTCTCTGTCTCATATTACGAAGCCTATTTGGGTTTTCTCACAGGAATTAAGGAGGTTGTAGATTCCAAATGATTGAGGGTATATATGTGCATGTGGGGTTAGAGAGAGATAGAGAGAAAGAAAAAGTAGTTGGGAATTATTGAAGAGAGGGAGAGAAAGTGTTGGGAATTGATGTCAAAAGACTTCATTAGTACAAAAAAGACAAAGAAAAAAGATAACTCATCAAAAGGAAGGTAATATTGTCAAAATGGACTGGTAATATGAAATCCATAGGTTGCTACTGAATTTCATTTCTTTTTACTTGTTTCCCTTAATCTAAACCAATTCATGTTAAGGTTGCATTGATGACATGCAGCCCGCCCATCCAAATTATGATAAATTACCCTGAAAGTGGTTCATAAGATCACAGTGTTCTGGGCTGTATCCAGTGCTTGATTGGATTGACATATGATTTAGCCTTTTGAAGATGAGTTTGAGATAACATGTGGGCTTTGCCTAGCTTCGTGCTGGAAAACATGGTACTACGGACCTTACTGACTTTGCACCTTTTCTTACAGCAAAAGAATTGTGGAAATTGTTATGCTTGCTTTTCTTTTACTGACGTAGATGAAAGAGCTTGTCAATGGTTCTCCAGCTTCTCCTTCAGCCAGTATCGGCTGACTTTAGACTTTGAAAGGCCTTCTATACCTAGTTATCTATGTTCATCAAAAGTTTCTGCTGTGTAAATACACAAAGGTTGCTCGGTATAACCTTATAGTGGTATTTATATCTGTAGGAAGTTTTTGTTTTTAAGTTTGTTAACAGTATTCCTGGAATCCTGGCATAGCCTCATTGAGAAACAAGAGGGAAACATGTTGTGTTAGAATGAGTGGTTGCATAATGGAAAGATTATATACATTTGAAGATTCTAGAGCTATTTTATTCAGAGATACTCCCTCCGTTTTTAAATACTTGCTCCACTTTTCTTTTCCGGCCGTTTTTAAATACTTGCTCCATTTCCTTTTTTGGAAAGCTTTTACAATATTTAATTAATTTCTCATACTTGGTGGACCCAACATAATACTCTCTTTCCTCCTATTCTTCCACTACTTTTGCTTTTTATAATTTTTTATTCTCCCAACTACCCCACTACCTCCATATTTTTATTACTTTCTACAATTTCTCCTAAAACTCCGTGCATGGAGAAATGGAGCAAGTATTTAAAAACGGAGGGAGTATCAATTTTCTAATCCCCAATTAAGTTCACTGGGAACTTGTTAAGAATCCAGGTACCCAGGGGATGAGGCTAAGACTTAGCAAAGTATTCAACATATCCATTTCATTCCAGTGTTGTGTGTTATTAAGTGGCGGCTCCCAATATGTAAGACCAGGAAGAATGTATACTTGGTTCACAGCAGAATTATGAAAAGTGAATGGGCTATAGAGATGAGAAAAATTGGCTGTCAAATTGTGAAACCATAAATTGGGTGTATTCCTCAATTAGTGGTCTGTCCCTTTTTCTACAGTCAAAAGGTTTATGGGTTGTTCCTTCTTCTCTGATAATCCATCATTGATCTCGCTGGACTTGTTACTAGAATCACTGGAAATTACCCTTGCTGCGCTGCCTTTGTTTTTTCATCCTTTTTGGTGCTGACCATTTCTTATTTTGTGACACTAATATGACAGAGTGAGAGTTCTCAGTAATTAGGTCATTACCACTTCCTTACTAATGTAATACGAAGTATCTTTGACATAACATATTCATAGACCCATTCCAACTTTGTCGTAGTCAATCACACACTCTTGGCCTACAAGATCATCTCTAACTTTCTCTATCCTGACCGAACAAAGTCTCATCTTCCAAGTGTTTTTAGCAACACTAAAACCACGGCTTATATTAACTAATAAAATAAAGGGTGAAGCACATTTAAAGGTTATTTGTTCAAGTAGATATAATTACCTGTTCCATAGGTGTGAGAGTGTTATAGATTACCTTGTCACCTGCGTTGTTACCCCTGTTGTCTCATTTACCCCCCCCCCCCCCAACCGGCACGAGCCCGGTACGGCGTCCCACTTGTGGGCCGTGGGCCGTGCCGTGAACAAAAATATTGAAACCCGGCACGGGCACGGCGGGAAGCAAGGTCGTTGGCACGCCGGCACGGCCCATGCCCACCTTAATTATATAAACTTATTTAATTAATAAATAATTAAGTTTATATAAATAATTTTTTGTTTAAATTTATATAAACTTAAACATAAATTATTTATATAAACTTAATTAAATTAAAGTTGTTAAAAAAAAATATGTATATTAACATTAACATAAACATAAATTAATAACATTATTTATATAAACTTAAGTTGTTCAAAAATATATATATATATATATATATATATATATATATATATATATATATATATATATCGATTTTTTATATACATATATATTTTTTAAAAAAAAAATTACGGATTGGCCTGCCAGGCACGTGGGCCGTGCCGTGGGATGGGGTGTGCCAAAATTTTGCACGGCACGGCACGAGCCCCACCCAGGCATGGCCCGCGATGGCCCGGCACGGCATGATGCCCATGTTTATTAGTGATAGTGAAAAGAGAAAGGCAGGTTCTGAAAGTTTCCTATAGCAAATCATGACTAAGAAATCCGCCAGGAGCTTATATCAAGCTAGCAAGATAAAGGATGAGTGGGAAGAAAGAAAAGCTAGCACCAAAGATATGTGATCTTGCAATCTTCAGCCTACTAGAGAAGTGTTCAGTCCATCAAGGCCTACGCTAAAAGTGAAAGAAACTTTGAGCAGAGAACAATGTATAAAAAAGCTCAAGGCGCGCTGAAGCGATAAGGGTATGCAGCGCCTAGGTGTGCCTAAGGCGCGCCTCTTTGAAGTGAGGCGCACTATATAAACAGTTGAAAAAATGGCAGAATTGCGCCTCATGTGCACCTTATTAAAATCGCCTCGCCTAGGCCCAAAAAGGCGCTTACCCCCTATCGCCTTGCGCCTCAGCGCCTAGGCGTGCTTTTTCAAACACTGGCAGAGAAGCTCTGGCAGTGCTGGGAATCAAGCTGGATGCATTGGTGATAGTAGTGTAAGGGAAGTAGAATGGTGGCTATAGTGTGTGTGGGTGGCGTGTAGCACCAAAGGTATGTGATTCTGCAATCTTTGGCCAACTGGAAAAGTGCTGAACTCATCAAGGCCTTTGCCATAAATAAACGAAATCCTCGGACGGAGCACCACAGTGGTTGTGGGTTTGATGGTGCCATTGGGAAGTTAAGGTGTTGGTGACTGATGATGGGATTGTAAGATGGTGAAAAAAAAAAAAAAGAGGGGTACTAGGACTGTTATCCTTGCAAGGGGTAGGTTAACTGTCCCTGTATCAGATTATCTGGTGATAGTGCTTTTTCAACCTCAAAAACAAGTTATTGGCCAGTTGAGACTAACCTGGCTCTTTGAGAAGGAAACTGCCATCTTTTATTAGGTTGATCGAAAGTTGGGATTACACTGATGAGACCAGTGAAAGCTCAATCTATTCCTTAACTCTTCCTAGAAAAGGTTATGCAAATCCTTTTTATATATTTATGGACGGGACTATTCTCTCTCTCTCCCTCTCTCTTGGGGGGGGGGGGTGGGTGGGTTTTACACAATGCTCTTTTTTGCAGGATGTCTGTCTGATTTATTTTGTGCTGTTTTTTTTTTATCCTTGGTTAATGACTGCAGACTTGGTAGATGTAAACAGATGACTGATTGTTTTTGATTTTGCAGAGTCCAGCTAGATCAAATGGAGGTGCTACACAGAGAGCTGAAGCTTTGGCAGCTTTGTCATCAGCCTTCAATCCCTCTTCTGGAGAAAAGTCCAGTTCTCCAAATGTGAGCAACTGTTATTTTTTCTCTTAATTTTTTTAAAGTTTGAATTGTTAATATATGCAAATTGTCTTGAAGGGGGGTGCAAAGTGAGTGTGTATATTAGCTGTTATAATCAGCTCTTGTCTTCCTGTGGAACAGTGGAAATTTAACCCATTTTGTCTTTTACGTCTCATGGCTACAGTAACTGGTAACTAAAGTATAAAGACAATAGGGGGGTTATGAGAGTGTAAAAAGTGAGAGCATGGTTAATAAAAAGTAGGGCAGAGTGTAAAGCTAATCAGTAATAAATGCAATAATACCAACAAAACGAAACTGATGAAAGTAGAAAGTGTAACCAACCAAAATGGAATGGAGGTAGCATATGATAGTATTTTGGGTCATCCAATCCTTTGCTCGCCCCTGAGCTGTAGGAAGGCCTGGCCAAGGGCCTAAGGAAGAAAGGCCCAATTTACTAAAATTCAAAATTGCAGCAAAAAAAAAAAAAAAAAAAAAAAAAGGCCCAGAATTGAAATTTATGTTAAATTTCATATATAATATCGGTATTATGCTCTATAATTTTAAGTTGCAGTGCCTTATCATACTATCAATAGCTTATTCTTCTAATATGTGATTTTGAACAGATTTATTAAATTGTTGAAAAATAAGGCATGCTTTGATCTGTGCCTAGGCTCTAACCACTGCTCAACATCATTATTTAATTGGTTGTGAATACAAATTTTTCCCATCAAGGATCCCTTTAATTTTTATAGATTAACTAACCAAAAAATTTACCTACCCCCAAAGGAATGCACACCAATACTCTATGAAGGATTACTCTATTATCCCTCTTCTACCTAAATATGCAACAGAGAATCTGTGTATTTGTGATTGTGACTCGGTATTTTTTCAGTTCAAAGTTATTTGATGCATGCAATATTTGTTACTACAGAAGTCAAATGGGTCGAACCAAGGTGGAGCAACTCAACGAGCTTCTGCTTTAGCTGCTTTGTCATCTGCGTTGAACCCATCATCTGAAAGCAAGCCTGCTGCCGTTCCTACTCCAAGGCCAGTTAATACTGGTCAAGGATCACAAAGAGCAGCTGCATTGGCTGCTCTTTCATCAGCCCTTACAGCTGAAAAGACACCCGATGTATCTCCTCCCCGGTCTACTAGGAGTCCATCTCCACCTGCTACTACCCCTCCTGGTGAGTTACTCCAAAAAAACATATCAGAAATCAGCAAATTCTAGTTCATTTTACAGCCTTTATAAGCAAATCAAACCATTGTTTAAGAAATATGACCCAAAAAAAGATCAGCAAAACCATTTTTATTTCTCTCTCTCTCTCTGTTTTTATTTTATATTATTTGGTAAAATGTGTAAAGGAAAAGAAAAGATAACCGGAACCTTGATAATATTCCTTTCTTTCCTGCAGCTCAAGAAGAGACTGAAAGTGCTCCAGAGGTGACTGAAGAGTCACAAGAAGCTCCAGAAGAAGTTAAGGAAACTGGGAGTGTGGATCCTGTACCTGAGAGCAATGGGGAGGAGTCGGTGTCTAAAGATGATGCTGAACAGGAAGACTCCATTTCTGGAGATACACAGAGCACATTCACTTACGAGCAACTGAGGGCTAGATCTGAAAATCCTGTCACGGGAATTGATTTTAAGCGTAGAGAGGTTGGTCCATTCATAAGATCTGTAATTAACAGTATAATTATTTTTATTACTTTGATCCCATTGTCATTTTCTACTTGTTGCATTACCATAGGCCTATCTATCCGAGGAAGAATTCCAGTCTATATTTGGTGTGACGAAGGAAGCATTTTATAAACTTCCGAGATGGAAGCAAGATATGCAGAAAAAGAAGTTCGATCTGTTCTAGTCTCAAAATATGCTGCTGCGCAAGTTCGTGATCTTTTTGTAAAAGAAGTGGGTCTTACAGTACATTCAGCTTGGTTTGTTTTTCTGTATGGTGCCTGCAGGTTGGTTTGTTTTTATAGCTGTTAATATTGGTGTTGATTTTGGGATACTGGTCAGAAGAGTGATTTTTGTATCTCTTCACTTATTCCATTTGTTTTAGATTTTTTTTTTCTTTTTTTAAAAAGATGTGTCCATTCTTTTCTATATTATAGTATTCATGTATTCTAGACAAAAATTTAATCCTTTTGTCCAAGGGTGGTGTATATGTACTGTAAGAAGGTTGTGTTCAGGTTGATTACTCAAGAGTTTCAATGAATTGTTGTGTTGATTTATGGTATGTTGTATGTACAATTGGCAATTGTGTCAAATACTCCTGCAACCACACCTGCCTCCCCGGCTCCCCGACCCTTCCAAAAAATGGTGAGTGTTTACATGGCTCAGACAAATGTACGTCACTCTATAAGCAGTACGCATCTATGTATAGCTTCTGAGGACATAGCTACATTTGACTTGATGTAAATTTACTACCTTCACTTTATAATACCATTTTTGTACAACTTATTTTAGAAAAAAAAAAATATTCAGACAAATTTAGGTATGTTCGATCACAACAAAGTTAAGATAAAGTTATAATGAGTCAGTTTCACATGAATAGAACAAGCCGTTAGCTCATAAGATATAGCCAGGAAAAAAAAAATGTGGTCAAATCTAGCAAAATAATTTTTCATCCCTTGAAAAAGTGTATGAGAGCATACTATTCGTAAGTTGCTTAATGGATCATGAACTATTGCATATTGTCTGAAAAGAACTTCACACCACGCCCACCAACTATGGTATAGTATTGGCACACAATCAAAATTATTAGTAACATGCTTCCTCTATTTAAGTTAAGTTACAACGTTTCGAGTTTTACATTATTCACTCAACTTAGACTTTTTTTTTTTTTTGGGTCATTTCTACTTTAGAAAAACCGATTCATGTGAAATCTTATTAGACATGTTTTAACATAAACCATCAATATATTAATTTAATTTTACTGACTGATGTATGGAGATATTAAGGTAGAAGTTTTGCTCGGCAAGCGTAAAAATGAAACAAATAGTAGTTAAATGGAGGAATGACAACCTCTCTACAATTACAATGGTTTCCTTTGCAATTCCATTTGGATTCATTGTCTAATGTAAATTGAGCTTAACAGTTAATTGAAGTATACTTGAACATGCTAATTCCTTCACTATATCAAGATAATATCTTACTTGACTATATGTTGCTTTAGGCTTCTCCCTTATGCTTTACTCAACATCGGGTCAATGTTTAAATTGGCGCACCAAAAGAAGACTACATTAGTATATTTTTATCTCTTTCTACGTAGAGAGTCACTTAAATTAAACTATCCGGTTTTAATAAGGAAACAAATGAAGCCATGCTAGCTTAGCAACATCAACAAACATACTTGTAGGTTAAACTTTTAAGAGGTCATTCGTTGCACCCACTGTGTTAATTTTTTCATAGTACGGAAGGATTCAAGATTACTTTAACACTAAAAGATTGAAAGGGATTGATTCAAACTTTTTTTTAAAATTCAAGAATGCATAACTATAATAAAATGAACCAATAAACCTCATGGAATAGCTATTAAAGTGGCCTTTTTCATGACCTTAGTAATTAAGAATTGCTTTCTTTTTGCTTCTCTACAAGTGCTCCATGTGTGTGGGTCGATTGAGTCCCTTTTTTTTTTTGGCATCTTAACCATACTATTTAGTTAGAGCACTTAGCCACTTATCCAAAGTACCTACCACATCTAATGATTACTACTTTACAAGTAGTATGATTAAACCAATACTAGTAGTTCCAAATATTAGTGTCACAAGCTAATTAATACTCTTAATTAATTAATTTTATAATGATTATCTTTTGGCATTCATTATTGATGTTGGATATTGTCAATTATGTCACACTTTTTTTTTTTTTTTTTTTTTAAGCAAATATTTTTACTTGTTGAAGACACCCACACCCAACATAAATATATTCCAATTCCATGGAAGCTTCACTTTTGAATAAATTCTCGCAAATTTCTATTGGGTAGGAGGAAGACATCAATCCACAACATAGGATCCTTTTTATTTCTTTTTATCTAATCCGAAAAGGACTAGTGCGCAAGGAATAAAGATACTAATCCTAAACTCACGGTGGTTAATTTCACTATAATGCTATGTTAGTTCAAATAAATGTGTATTATTATTATTATTGTTATTTTATTTTTATTTTTTTAGAAATATATGTGTAGTCATTCTCAAGTATGATGTATAATAAAATATTGAATCATCAACAAATTGATGAATGAAATAATTTTATTTTTTTGTCTTGAAAAAAGTGGTTGTATTATTTGCATGCAATAGGATTATGGTAGTCTTTTTTGAAATTTTTAGTTATATATAAGGATGGCTAACACGCCTACCCGTAATAATTACTCTGTGTCTTCAAAGTAAAAGATTAAGGACATGTTCATATTTACTGAGTTGAGCTGAACTGAACTGAACTAAGTTGTAATGAATAATATTTTATGAGAGAAGAAAATTAGGAGCTAAACTAAACTGAACTGAAATTAAGCTGAAGTGAACAGGCCCTAAGAAAAAACAAATGAACAAATAATTTACAAATTTTACATGTATAATTATCTTACGATAATCCAACCCAATGTAAAGAGAAATGAGGAGGAGATATCTTAATTTCTCATAAGGAGACAACGGTAGAATTTTAGTATTTTACTGTTTATGTCAATCTAAAGCTAATTGAAATTTACATGAGAAGGGTAAAAAAAAAAAGGCGATTGGGAGGCTATAACTTGTCATATGTGCTACCATTATAGGCATAAGTACTATTTGATTGCTTAATGAAACTTGAATCTTCCAAGTATTCACGAAAATTACATAGTAAACACGATTAATAGCTAGAATGCCCTTTTGTTCGATAAATTGAAAATAGATAGTGGATTGGTAAGACAAAATATGAAGCACGCGTTGACACAACAAATTTGTCAAGAAGTGGTAAGTGCCAAATTAAAACATTGCTTCGTAAAACTATCACAAGAAACTTACATTTAGAAATAAAATAATAGAATAAGTAGTGATTTATAGTCTTTTAGAGGTCAAATAATGGTACACTTCTATTTGTCTTTAGCACTTACAAAGTAGTGGAGAACAATAAAGGAAACAAAAGACGAGAACGCAACAAAAAAAATTACAAATATACTAAGTACTTGTGTTAAAAAATGGTCCAACACCTAATTAAACCCTTTTTTTAGGGCTCTTTAATCTTTGCTCTTTCTTCTCTTCTTCTTCTTGTTTTTTTTCTCCTCTTTTTGACGGGAGAACATTAAAGAAAAGCTTTGCTTCCTTAGGAAGAGTATTATCTAGCCACACTTTCATCTCATTATAATTATCTTTTACTAAAGCATATGCTACATGTGCTAGAAATATGTATAGGTTCCGAATATGTTTTATTTGTTTGATTTTATTTTTACTTATTATTCCTACGTAATTAGTTTAGGTAAAAATAAAATATCACCAGTTGTTCAAACAAGATATGTGCGAAAATAAAATAAAAAAAAATAATAATAAGTTTTTTCAAGTAAGATAAGTTTTTTTTAATTATTATTATTATTATTATTATTATTATTATTATTATTATTATTATTATTATTATTATTATTATTATTATTATTATTATTAGTACTAACTACTACTACTACTACTACTACTACTGCTACTGTTGCTGCTACTACTACTACTACTACTGCTACTACTGCTGCTACTGCTGCTGCTACTCCTGCTGCTACTCCTGCTACTACTACTGCTACTACTACTACTACTGCTACTACTGCTGCTACTGCTACTGCTGCTACTGCCGCTACTACTACTGCTACTACTGCTACTACTACTGCTACTACTACTACTGCTACTACTACTGCTACTACTGCTACTCCTCCTACTACTGCTGCTCCTACTACTCCTACTGCTACTGCTACTCCTACTACTGCTACTCCTACTGCTACTCCTACTGCTACTGCTACTCCTACTACTACTGTTGCTACTGCTACTGCTACTGCTACTGCTACTACTGCTATTGCTACTGCTACTGCTGCTGCTACTACTACTGCTACTACTACTGCTGCTGCTACTGCTGCTGCTGCTGCTACTACTACTACTACTACTGCTACTATTATTGCTGCTACTACTACTACTACTACTCGCATTCTTTAAAAAAAAAAAAAACTAATGTTATCGCATTATTATTATAATCATTAAATTTTTAAAGTTAAATATTAATTATTATTATTATATTAATTATAATTATTAAATATTATTTAATTATTATTATTATTAAAAATTAATAATTAGTATTATCTTAATATTAATTGTTATTATAAAAATCAATTATTGTTATAATAATTAATATTATTAGTTATAAGTATTATTATTACTATTAGTATAATTACTATTATTATTACTATTATTATTAAATATTAATTAATATTATTATTATTATTAATTATTAATAATTTATTATTATTTTTATTTTTATTAAATATCAATAATTAATTATTGTTATTATTTTTATTAAATATCAATAATTAATTATTATTATTATTATTAAGTATTATTTATTATTATTATTAAATATTAATTATTTATTATTATTAAATATTAATTATTTATTATTATTAATTATTATTATTAAATATTAAATATTAATTATTATTATTAAATATTAAATATTAAATATTAAATATTAATTATTATTATTATTAAATATTAATTAGTATTATTATTAAATATTAATTATTATTATTAAATATTAAATATTAATTATTATTATTAAATATTAAATATTAAATATTAAATATTAATTATTATTATTATTAAATATTAATTGTTATTATTAAATATTAATTATTATTATTAAATATTAAATATTAAATATTAAATATTAATTATTATTATTATTAAATATTAATTATTATTATTATTAAATATTAATTATTATTATTAAATATTAAATATTAATTATTATTATTAAATATTAAATATTAAATATTAAATATTAATTATTATTATTATTAAATATTAATTGTTATTATTAAATATTAATTATTATTATTAAATATTAAATATTAAATATTAATTATTTATTATTATTATTATTAAATATTAATTATTATTATAATAATTCAATATTAAGTATTAATTTTAAGTAGAGCAGAGCAGAGTAGGGCAGAACAGATCAGAGCAGAGCAGATTGAAGCAGAGCAGATTTCAGCAAAGCAGAGCAGAGCAG